ACAATGAAACTGAACACAACGACGAACTAAGTCAAGTCCAAGAAAAAGGAGAAGGTGCGTACGGATATAAGATCCATACACTACATTTTTTAATGGTAACGTAATCTTTTCAATGCAGACGATGATATACCGATGAATGAAATTTCCCCCGAACACAACGAAAAGTTGACGGATGCCCGAGAAAAAAATCAAACCGGAGATGAAATAGCCGATATTATAAAACTAACTGAAACATCATCAAACAATGCAGATTCTGGTTCATCATTGGTACAAGTAAGTGACTACGATGATGAAGCGACGAATGGAAATTCTTCTGAACACAAGGACGAACTTAATCAAGTCCAACAAAAAGGAGCAGGTGCGTACGGATATAAGATCCATACACTACATTTTTTTAATGGTAACGTATTCTTTTCTATGTAGACGATGATATATTGAAGAATTTTCATGAAAACAGTGAAATCATGACTGACGCGACAGAAAAAAATCAAACTGAACCAGAAATGCGTTTAGTAACGGTATGTGATTTTTTCTCAGGGCAGATTCAGCTGGATATTAAATTGATTTGACATTTGATTTAAATTTCAGGACGAAATTGAACGTAAGGAAATCCTGACAGCATTGTATGAAGTGGATGATGACCCAAAACGTAAAATGTTTTATGATGAGTTGAAAAAATGTTTGACGCTATCTTACCTGATGTTAAATGAAAGACCTATAGATTTATATACATTTTTCGTCCTCGTAAATGAACTTGACGAAACTTTATCGAAAGTGAATGACTTGAAGAAGTGGGAAAGTTTTGCTCTAAGATTTGGCATACAAACAAAAGTCGATTTACATGCAAAGGTACTGAAATACTACTACAATCATTTTATGGCTCCACGCAAGAGCACGTTGTTAGCTGCAATATCAAAAGGTATGGGCATCAAATTTGTACAGTGTTCTTTGAATAGTAACCACTTATAGATTTTAATTTATAATAGTTGCAGAGGAACCAAACAATGTTTTAGATGCAAAAAGTGCAGGACATGACGTTCACCCAGAAATACAAAGCCAACACTTTATTACTCTATATAACATCGACAATGATCCAAAACGTAAAAAATTTTTTGATACGTGTAAGATATGTACACATCAAATGTTGATAATCAAAGGAAACCCGGTAGATTCATATAAACTGTTCGTTTTCATAGACGAACGCGGTGGCATTAAATCAGAGGTATTTGATTTACGTTTCTTTTTTCAAGTCGTATTATTAATGTAAATCTTATCTTAACAAAGGACATTATTCAGTGGAAAGAATGCGCCCTCTCCCTTGGCTTACAAACAAATGAAAATGTATTGAATGCATTGATGTCTTTTTATGATAATCATTTGGCACCATACAGGGATTTATTGTTGGCAGCAATATCAGAAGGTAGGCACGGATATGAAATCCGTACACCACATTTTTTCTCTATTTCCTATTCTCGATTCTATTCTCTGCAGATTTCAATTCAGTGGTAAATGACTGCGATGGTGTAGCGATGAATGAAGATTCTCCGGAACACAACGAAAAGTTGACTGATGCCCCAGAAACAAATCAACCCGAAGAAACGACAGAACAATCAAGCAATGATCAGATTATGAACACAAAATATGCATCGGCGGATCAAAATGATGGTGAACCAAAACGATTGAAAAAACGAAAACGTGTTAGTGCACCCAGTCGTCGGTCAACTCGAGCAAATAAAAAAATAAAAATACTTGAAAACATTTTGATTAGACCAAAATCAACCATATAACATTATTATTTCTCAACTTGTATGAATTTCAATGAATTAAATTGAAAGAAAAATGTTTTCATGTTCGAAATATAATATTTAATATCAATAAAAAGATTTAAGCTATCATCGCAAATTAATTATTATTAATTCCAAAATACTAACAAGCGTTTCACAATTTTCACCTACGGATTTCATGCTCATTTTTAATTTAAAAATATGAAGTGTACGGAAGTTAAAAACGTACGCTGCGAACTAATATATGTTTTCTGGCCTGTGTTCGTACAGCTTACAGTTGATAAAAAAGAACATTTTTGCTATGGGAAAAATTGTTACATTTTTCCAATTTTAATAAACATAATCTGAAAAAGGAATAACCTTTGAATTTAATAAAAAGCAACGAGCATATAGTTTTGCTTATTTCTGCTATTCTAATACCGTTATTTTTATTTTGTGTTACACACCAATACACACGTGTTGGTAAAACACACCAATGTATTAACAATTGACATGGTCGGTGCAAATATTTTGTTGTTGTTTGTAGTATGTCACATCTCAGTGCGTTGAATACACGCGTTTGACACTCGTTCAAATCAAAATCTGGTAAATATAAATGTACCATTGAAATTAATAGTATTAATAAATTTATTTATACATTTTTAAAGGGGTTTCATACGGTTTGATTTAATTTTTCAAAAGAGCAAATATGCAATTCATCAACGTTAGAGGTTTCAATGGTGGTGATTTATATTATATCCCAGAAGAAAAACATCTATACGTACGCAAGGAGCTAAAGAATGGGACGTCTTATCTGGTTTGTTATGACACAATTATCTCTGCAAAACATTTACAGGATGGTAATTTTACAATCTGCCCTGCACGATGCCATTTACGTGTGGACACACAACACCTTACGCGAACTTCAGTCAATCACAAATGTCATCAGAATCACGAAATTATTTTCCGAGACATGAATTCATTGAATGCCATGAAGGATCATTGCAGATTTCTGGCCAAACACTTTCCAATATCTGCACATAAAGTTCCAGTCAAAGAAATTTTCCTAATGGAGATTGCAAAGTTAGTTTTTAGAATACGAAGTACACATTTTCATATGCATGCATTATATATCATAAAAATTTGCATTATGTTTTACGTTTTAGACGCCTACCAGGTGAAACTCAACTTAAATTTGAAAGTGTGGAACGTCAGCTATTTCGATTAAGAGACAAAAAGTACCCAAAAAGACCAAAAACAGATGAAGAAATGCAATCCATTCTTAAAGAGCCAGAAATTTATGAAGAATATGGCAAAACTATGAACATGCAATATGCATTCTATATAAACTCGGTAATTCATACCGATTATGCATTTCACGTATTCGCATCATTGGCAAATATTGAAATGATTAAAGATAAAATTGCTTCTAATCAAAGAAAGTACTTAATGGATGGAACTTTCAAAATTATTCCCCGCCAGTTCAGCCAACTTTTAATTATAGCAATTGAATATAAGAATGATGTACGTATTTATATCCTTTCATTTTGTACGGATGAAATATTTGTACACTGTAAATTTTATATCAATATGATCACATATAATTATAAACTATGATTACTTTATAAAAACTAGATATTCCCATTGTTCTTCGTCTTGATGACGAAAAGAACTGCTGTTTGTTATGCAGCTATTTTCAACTTTATTGAAAACAATGTGTTTAATTTGGAACCATCTGAATTCATCACTGATTTTGAGGCAGGGATGCGGTGTGCGATTGAAAGATGCTATCCGACAGCTCAACTCAGAGGTTGTTGGTACCATTATTGCGCTGCATTACGTAAAAGGCTTCTCAAGCTCGGTCTACATAATTTATTAAAATGGAATAGCCAAGCAGTTATAATTAAGAAGGAGTTAATGAGTCTGCCACTATTACCTTCTGAATACTTTAATGCGGGTTATGTACACATAAAAAAGTTGGCAAAACAATGGAGGCTTTCCAACAGTTTTAAGAATTTCTTCGAATACTATGAACAGTTTTGGATTCAACAGGTACATAAAATATTCAAAAAAAAATAATGTATTTTCAAAATATAGTGACGGACTTAAATTCCGTACACTCTGTTATTTCCGGTTATTTCATTGCTTATATGTATGTTGCATTTTCAGAATCAAAGAAATCCTCTATCAGTCTGTGATGCCAATATGCGAACAACTTCATCATTGGAATCTATGAACGCAGTTTTACGTCGATCCTTTCCGAACCATCCACATATTTTCAAATTTATTGACCGTTTACGTTTGCATGAATTCTCAAAATCTCTCGATATGCTGAATGCTATAAGGTCTGATATTTCATTGCAGCAGTTGAGGAGACGTAAGAAAAGAGATCAAGCGCGTAACGAAAAATTGACAATTCTGATAGAAGCTTTGAAGCATAATAAGTCGCCGTCCTCATTCCTAGACGCTATTGCGAACAATGAAGAAGTAAACTTATTACCTAACACTGGTGAGAACTTGAATAATATATGTTTGTGCTGTGAATATTTCTTTTTTACATATGTAATTTTTTTCAGCTTCTATAATAACATGTGATGGCTTTGGCAAACAAAGATCATATTCAAATCAAACGGAACCTGATAGATCAACACGATCATCAGAGCGTCAAAGAGAAAAGAAATCACAGCAAGGTAAATTTTGATAGCCTTAAGTACGGACGGATTTATTTTCCGTACGCTCTCTCTAACACAAGTATCACAAATAGATTTTAAAATCATATGTATCTCATTGTCTCATGAGTGTTCTTTTCATTGTGATAGATAAATTAAACGATATCAACAATAACAAAAGGAAAATAGATGAGAAAGGTAAATGAGTAACGTATGCTTTGTAAATTTTGAAATGCTATTTTTATGTTGATATTAGGTGACGATAGTGGTGAAACAGGACAAGGCGCCAAAGCTATAAAAAAGTTGCGTTTGTCACAATTGGAAACCACCCCAAAACGCCTCAGAAACAAAAAAATGTACTGAAAATAAACAAATTTTGAAAAATTAAAGATGAAACAATAAAATGAATAAAATAATTATAAAAAAATGTCTTAAATCCCTTTTTACCACTCATATACATTACTATATCGAAAAAGCAGTAGATTCATATTCTTCGGTCCCGAAAACACCTGGAAAACATGTTTTTGAGGGGTCACGGAAATCAAAAACGATACAACAAAATAAAATGATAAGGTGATGATTTTAAAACTTGTACTATAGTTACCTTTGTTCGAGACAAAGAGTAGTTTTTTTTTTTGAAAGTATTGGAAGTGTACGGAAATCAAAAAGGTACGCTGCATCTTAAAAACGACATATATTAGTTGACTAGTCAGCCCGAGTCAGCCATATAAAGTCAAAATATTGAAACAATACTCAAAACTAATAACAGAATAATTTTTTTTGAATTTATTTTGTTAATTGTCATCGATTTTACGGAGCAAAACATATAGTTCAAAAAAAATTGTCAACTGTAGCTGTCACAGAAACAATACATGTACACAAGCATCACACGTACAAGCCATAACAACAGAGAAAAGTATGCTGAGCGAACATTCTAATACATACGCTCACTACTTAGAATCGTCGCTGTGATACTTTGAGCGGTATGCATTTTAATTTGCACGAACACAGATCATAGAAAGTGTTCTTATGTGTTTGTGTGATTGATTTTAAAAAAGACTAGAGAGCGTCGGAGGTTCTTGTTCGTATCGAGTGCCAATTCGGTTGTGTTCTAGAAGAAGCTACATCATTTTTTGTATCATTTTCGATAGTTAAAGGTAAGAAAACTATTTCATATTTTAAAATCAATGGAATTTTTGAATATCGTCTCTGAACAATATTAACTATTTACAGCTGACAACATTTTACTGAAATTTGTTCACAATGGATTCGGTCACACTAAATTTTGATGAAATAGCTGACGAAAGCAGCATGGAAGAAAATCAATTTGAAGAAGAAGAAACAATCGAATCAGATAACGAAAATGGCGTTCTAATGGGAATAGACGAAGAGGTAGAAATAGATGAAGAGAAAAGAATGGAACACGAACAAGAAAATGACCGGGAAAACCAAACAAAAAACGATGAAGTGCAATCAACAGGCAATGAAGTGCAATATACAGCACCGTCACCAAAAAAATCTGAAATAAGCGAAAAGAAAACCGATCCACAGGTCAACAAATCATTTAAGCCCGATGAAATACTGAAAATGATCAAAGATAATATTTTGTACCCGGATTCTCCACCAAAAAACAAAAATACGCATGCAGAGGCCTGGAAAAATGGCATGAAATATTTATACAAGTCAGAAAATGGTGACATTTTCAAAAATTGGTACTATTGTGAAAAATGTAACTGGGTAAAGTTTGTATGGCTCAAAGGCGGTACCAGTGTGATTAATAATCATCACAAAAATCATGAGAAAGACAACTTCTCATTAACGCGAAAGGAACTGGCAATTCTGCTATCCAAAGCCACTGCATATGGTTTAAAATATGGCTATGTAGCCCCTTCCGTTTTCCTCAAAAAAATGCCGAAAGACAAATGGTATGTAATATGTCTTTTCTTAAGCAATTAAATTACAACATGTACGGATATGAGCTCTGTACACTGTTTAACATAAATTCAAATTTTTGAAAATAAATATTCGTTTATATTTTTGTATTTCCATTTTAATATATATTTTTCTTCTCTCCTTCTTACTGAAGGTCTGATGAGTTTTGGGAGACTTTGAATAAGACTGAAAACACCGCTGTTGCTACAAAGTCCTCAGAAAACAAAAATAAAACAAAACGAATCACTGAAAATGATGATGAACCCAATTCAAAAAGAGCACGTATAGGTAATAATCTATATTTTGAGACGGATTTATTAGCCGTACGCTCTGAAATTTAATTTGAATATTGTCATTATATTAATTTTATTTCAGATCCTGAGCTCCATGACGAGACCACTTCACATGAAATGATTGCAACCCCAAATCTGACATCTGATCTTTGTGAGAACGTTGAAAAGTCAAGTGATAATAGTAAGTAATGAATAAAGTATATCTTTAGTATGGATTTATTTGCCGTACGCTCTCTCTCTCTCTCTCTCTCCTCTCGATAAGGTGATGATTTTAAAATTTGAATGAAAATCAATCAACTTTTAGCTATAGTTACTTTTGTTCGAGACAAAGAGTAGTTTTTTTTTGAAAGTATTGGAAGTGTACGGAAATCAAAAACGTACGATGCATTTTAAAAACGAGACATATTAGTTGACTAGTTGAATATTGTCACTATATTACTTTTATTTCAGATCCTGAACTCCATGACGAGACCACTTCACATCAAATCATTACAACACTAACTCTGCCATCTGATCTTTGTGAGAACGTTGAAACGTCAAGTGATAATAGTAAGTGATGAATAAAGTATATCTTTAGTACGGATTTATTTTCCGTACGCTCTCGCTAACACAAGTATCACAAATAGATTTTAAAATTATATGTATTTCATTGTCTCATAAGTGTACTTTTCATTGTGATAGGTAAATCAAACGACATCAACAATAACAAAAGGAAAATAGATGACAAAGGTAAATGTGTAACGTATGCTCTGTAAATTTTGAAATGTTATTTTTATGTTGATAATAGGTGACGATAGTGGTGAAACAGGACAAGGCGCCAAAGCTATAAAAAAGTTGCGTTTGTCACAATTGAAACGACCGATGCCGAAAACCAAAAAACTTGATTTGATAAAGAAAAGAAACCGACTTGTTAGTAATGTTAAAATTGGAAATTCCGCAGCTGATGCCATGACAACATTATCATTACAAACACGTGATTCAGGTAAAGTATCCGAATTAGTCAATTGTTTTCGTACGGAAATTATTTCCGTACACTGTGAAAAGAAACTATTTTTTCAAATAGTAATAATTTTTACTTCCAATTTTCATAGATGGTGTAAATTTGAACAGCGCAACTGAAACCGCAAGCAATGTTGACAACGAAAAAGGTTTGATTTTAATAATATTGAGAAAATTGTAGTAGAGGTGTCAGCGAACTACCAAATCTTAGTTCGTGGTCGTTCGTTTCAAAAAATTTGAGTTCGTTTTGGTTTTGGTTCGCTCCAGTTTTAAACTAGTTCGTTTGGGTTCGTTCGTTGACACCTTTAAATTGTAGCATTTGTTGGAAATTCCCTACTAACAATATTTCAAACTTAGGTCAAATGTATTGAAAACCGTAAAGATCCCCGATTCCATTGTCATTAACTAAGTATGACAAGAAGGATAGTAATAAATATAAAACTAACATTTCTCTTATGTGAGTCATAATGTCTCTTTTAAAAAACTACTATAAATAAAAAAAATACAATACTATATATTTTTATAAACAAAAAAGTAATTTTTGAAAATATTTATCGAATTTTTACATTTTTTACAGGTATTAACGCTGATACAAAGATAAGAAAAAAGCAAAAGAATGAAAAAGCTCAATTGAAAACCACCCCAAAACGCCTCAGAAACAAAAAAATGTACTGAAAATACTGAAAATAAAAAAGTAAAAATAAATATAAGTATAAATAAATAATTTTTGAAAAAAATGAAAGATGAAACAATAAAATGAATAAAATAATTATAAAAAAAATGTCTTAAATCACTTTTTACATATACATTACTATATCGAAAAAGCGGTAGATTCATATTCTTCGGCCCCGAAAACACCAAGAAAACATGTTTTTGAGGGGTCATGGAAATCAAAACCGACACAACAAAATAAGATGATAAGGTGATGATTTTAAAACTTGTACTATTGTTACCTTTGTTCCTGACAAAGAGTAGTTTTTTTTTAAAGTATTGGAAGTGTACGGAAATCAAAAAGGTACGCTGCATCTTAAAAACGACATATATTAGTTGACTAGTCAGCCCGAGTCAGCCATATGAAGTCAAAATATTAAAACAATACTCAAAACTAATAGAATAATTTTTTTGAATTTATTTTGTTAATTCTCATCGATGTTACGGAGCAAAACATATAGTTCAAAAAAAAATTGTCAACTGTAGCTGTCACAAAAACAATACATGTACACAAGTAGCCAGAATACTCGATCGACATTGTGACAAGTGGCTGTAGTCAGACATAGGCGGAGGTCGGCGGACACTGGCGGACACGGATACGGGCGGATTAGCGGGAGCAATGTCAGTTACCCATTATATGCCAGATGAATCAGCTCAGCCAGATATCGTCAAAAGCTGAAATTGAGTGAAAACAATAGAAGTTATGGTTATAATTACACTTACATTGCTACCATCACTATATTGTTTTCATTCCATTTCAGCTCCTGACGATATATGGCTGAAAATATCTCAATATAATGTCTGGCTTAGACTGGCCCCCAAAACACAAAAGTTGAAATTTTTTCGCTCTTACCTCGGAATACTTTTCCATATGGTGTGCAAATAACGTGTGCAATGTTTCATGCCGATAGCTCAACGTTAGATAGTGCCGCAAGAGCTCGGTAGGTCATTATGTGAATTCCGTCTCCGCCCATCTCCGTCTGACATTTTTCAGACGGGCGGATAT